ATTAGGAAGAATTGGCCTGGGTGGGTTCCGTGGCTTGCGTTTCGATTCAACTAGGCTGTTTGACAGTGGAGGGATCGATTATCTCATGTCGTGGGATTCCTCTAGGTTGATTCGGTGGCTGCTAGTTCGGTTCGGATTTGCTGCAGATGAAGGGCTAGTGTGTTTCTTTGTTTTTATTGTCTCTTTTGTTCTTGTCTTGTGTGGTAGGATTGTGTTTTAAGTTTGAGCACTTTGCCTGAGTTTTGTGTCATGTATTTCGGTTTGGGTCGTTGGCCCCAGTGTGAGCAGGAGCAACTTATTATCCTGTGGGGATCTGCTCTTGTCTCTATTCTTCTGTGAGGAGCATTTTCAGTTGTAGTTTTGTGGTTTGTTGTGTGTTGTTGGCTAGTTTGTTAGGGTAGAGAGTGTTTTTATTCTAGCCTGGCTAGTCAGGTTTCTAGGCGGTCGTCTGACTTGTCCCCCCCTTTTCAGCAGTTGGCTGTCCATTGAGCTAGGAGCTGCTTTGTATTCGCACATTTGTGCATTTTGATTTATAATATTTTCTATCGTTCCGACAAAAAAAAATATTTAAATCTATATTTTTGTTACATTAATAAGTATAAATATTTATTACTTATATAAAAAATAAAAATAAAAATATAATTGACCTGTCTGATCAACCAATTCTGACCGGTTCATTGGAAACCAGCTTCTCCAACAGAATCAAACCGTTTTGTTGATCGATTCTCGATCCAACAACCAGTTTGGTCTGATTTTTGAAACAATAGTAGTTGATATTATTTTATTTTTATTTTTTTAATTTTAACATCTACAGTTATATTTTTTTATTTTTATCAACCACTATAATTATAATAAAATTAAATAATTATTTTATAAATATATTAATTATTTATTTAAAAATAATAAATTATATAAAAAACATTGCATAGTAATTAAATTAAACATTTTATTATAACTTTTTTTTAGTATCAAACCTAATTGTTTACTATCAAAGATTGTTGTATACTTACGACATAAAAATTACAAAAAAAAAAAGGTATAGAAACATTTTTGCAAATTTCGAGACCAAGTTTGCAATACAGTCAATCTTGTGAGACTAAATTTGTAATGTTACCTTCTTCAACTTAACGACTAACAGTGCACAGAACCATCCCGTTTTACTTTTAACGAAGTTAGGACCAAACATGCAACAAAAATTCCAAAATGACCGATATTGCAATGTAACGGGACCAATTCTGCAATATGCCCAATCCTACAAGACCAAATTTGCAATTTCCTCTTCATAATTATGTGCCATACCTTGGCCAAAAGTTTTTTTTTTGTTTTTTTTTTTTTTTTTTTTTTTTTTTTTTTTTTTTTTTGTCGAAAGGATACAAAATACTCAAATAAAACGCCAAATCAAAGTTATAATACATCCGGACCGGGTCCGAAAGAGCCTATTAAAGAGAGAACCACTCGCAGGTGACCTATACCAAACCAAACAAGGAAGATAATCCAAGGCAGTTACAAAATACATCTGAGACCTTGGACTCAATGAAACAAAAACTACAAACAATTGAAGGAAAGAAAAACAACACAAAAACTTCCACTGATCTGAATATCCTAAAACGCCTTCAAAGTTGCATACTTCTCCCAGAAGCACCCTGCCGGGGCGAACCTCCTCAAATTTAGTCCATTTAAGGAAATTTTCATGGCAATGAGAGGAGCCGAGCCCCAGCTTGCCTCAAGCTACCACAAATTTTGAGATTTCCAGAACCACCACAATATGTACGTTGAAAGTTTTATCGACTTCTGAAACATCACTTCTATCAAGCTCACAAACCTGTCATCACTAGTTGCTAAAAGATTCAATACCCTTGGGGCCCTCCCATCTAACTAGCACCAACTTCCAAACATGTTATGCCTTTGGACAGTGCAACAGTACATGCTCAATTGTTTCCGCTTCTGCACTACATCTTGACAATAGTATTTACATTTGTCCCTTTGTTTTTAGCTTCACACTAACATGAAGAAAACCTGAAATACACTTCTAAATAAATTGCTTTACCTTGCCTTTGTTCCTCAAGCTCCAAAGCCTGCTTCTGCCTTCAAATCCTTAATGAAGCCTCAATACATTGAGCTCTGTCAAGCTTGAGAATTTTCTGATTAATGAGGAAAGAGTAAGTATTAGAAACAGAGAACTTACCATTCTTATCCAAAGCCCATCCACATATGTCTACCTCCTCAGAATTAAGAGTGTTTATCTTCAAAATGGCTTCACAATCCTCCTCTTGGAACACCTGCCTCAAAACCTGTTCATCCCAAGTTCTACCCCTTGAAGAAAATAAGTCCCTAACCCATAACAAATCTCTCTGAGTCCCACTCTCCGAGTCCCAGGTTTAAACTCCAGTCTTCTTCCTAACAAACCTGGTACCCAATTCTCTTCTAGGATTTTAATATCGTGCCATCTCCCACTTCAACCATCATCCACTTTTCATAACCATCCCCGACTTTCTCATCTAAAATTCTCAAATTCAAGGGATTAAAAACCAAACGAAAGTAACCTAATCCATGACATATAATCTCAAATTTTAAACCTCAACTTATGATAAAACTCAACATAAATTTAATCCTCAAATTCTCATCCAAAAACAAAGGTTCAAAGATCAAAGCTCATGCAACAAAACCTTGGATTTCACTTCTCTTTTTTTAATAAACTTAAAGGCATGAACTCGCGATCTTATTTCTTGATTTAAGTTGAGCCTTAACCAAGCTTTCAAAACTAAGACTTTCAAATTCTAAAGGTTCTTGATGCCTTTAACAAAACAACAAAAACAAGAATAAACTTGGTTCTTTTTTTATTAATTAATTCTTTAAGCCTTAATAAATTGATTCATCTTGTTTTTTAATCAACAAATATCGTTCAGAAAAGAGGGGAAATCTTGGGTTATTTACCTTGCTTCAGGAAAGGGGAAAAAGAAAGGCTCAAAGGATGGCTTTCAGGTCTCGGCTTGATCTATCGGCTAGACTCGGCTAAGCTCTGCATGTACCCTAAGTTGTCTAAGAGAACTCCCCGACAAGCATATTCATTGAAAATAAGCTAAACTCCTTTGGAGAGACCTCGACCGAACCAACCACTTTGGCTGGTTCACCGAGTCATTCTAGGTACTATATCAAGTATGATCTTTTGTTCATCCGTGATGAAACATATTTATCTAAATATAAAATAACAGAACATAGAAGCAGTTAACTATATATGGTTCTCATTTAATTGAAACTCATTTTTATAACGCAAAAAACCAAGCTTTCAGTATATACACCCACACCAAGACGTGGCGACTCAACATTACGACGTGTAAGATGAGCTGCTGCTATTCAACAAAAAGGTAATTATGCCAGAAGTCGATCAATTAAGAAAAACAATCTTGCAGTACTTTCATTAGTCCAATATTGGAGGTCATTCTGATGTTTAGCGCACATGGGTGTTAATATCCAACATGTTTTATTAGTTGGGTCAAAAGGACGAGTTTCGCGAATTCGTTGCTAATGTGACATCTGCGAATGGGTAAAGTTGGATTCACTCAAATCGAGTGAGGCTATTAAAGTCGTTATCGGTACCTAAGCGTATATGAGAGGATATCTCGATGGACTTCATCGAAGGATTGCTGATGCCTAACAGGTTCAATGGAATAATTGTGGTGGTAGATTGCCTCACCAAATATGCGCACTTTGTCCCGTTGACTCATCTATATACGACTAATTCTGCAACTAAGGTGTTTGTGGAGTATATGGATAAACAATATGGAGTACCGCAGTTGATTGTGTCAGATAGGAATCGAATTTTTATGAGTCATTCTAGAAGGAATTTTTCAAGATGCACGGGGTTAAGCTAGCTTTGAGCTTGGCGTACCATCCAGACAGACGGCCAAACCAAGGTAACGAATCGCACGCTTGAACAATACCTCAGGTGTTTTGTCCATCAATTCCCAAAAACAATGGGAAGGATTCCTACAGTGGGTCAAATTTTGGTACAATACTACCTTTCATGCATCCACCAAGTTCACTCTTTTTGAGTTAGTATATGGGCAAACAACCCCCATGCTGATCAGTTACTCTGTGGGCAAGTCTCCATATGCGGAGGTTGATCGCGAGTTGATTGAGAGAGGGGCTTAATGATCAAGGAAATCACAGGTAACTTTCATGGCTCGATTATTCGTATGAAGGAATACTATGATACGGGTCGATGAGGAGAACGTTTCAGTTTCGGCGATTGGGCTTACTTAATGTTACGACTGCATTGTCAACATACAATTTCACATAAGACACTATATAAATTGGGTAGCCGATTCTACAAACCGTATCAAGTTAAGAAACACGTGGGCAAGGTGGTGTACAGACTTGATTTGCCGACAAACTCTTAAATTCACCCGGTTATCCACGTCTCAAAATTGAAGAAGAGCTTGGGAGATGAACATAAGCTTCAGGTGCAACTGCCGGTGGTGAATCATGATGGAAATCTAATTGTTCGACTAGTACGGACGATGGACTATCAAAGAGTAAAAAGAGTTTAACGCTTTCATTGAGAAGTGTTAATCGAGTGGGAGGAACTGCCGAAAGGAAAAGCAACACGAGAGAACTTAAAACATGTCCGCAACCAATTCCCGTACTTTATTAGGACAAGGATATACTACTTGGAGGAGACGAGAATTATGTGGACGAGAGTTCATACAACTAACAATAGCGAGATCATATCAAGGCACAAGGACAGCATCAAGCATGGGCACACAGCGGCTCGGGGGAGTAGACCATGATAGTGACGGGCTCGAGCTACAGACTTCGGACGAGGAGCTGACCGTGTTTTATTTATTCTAGAGGGTGGTTCCGTTAGTTTACTATTCGTAAGGACCTATTTATAATTTTCAGTATTTTCTTCCTTGTACTGGCCAAAAATCTCGCAAATTTTTTGCCGACGGCCGTCGGCGGCTATCACAATTCATACGATCTTCATCATGCTGGCGCTCTTCTTTTGAACTGTGTTGTCTATTGACGTTGGACGGTCTAATTGCTATTTTCTTGCGCTAGTGAGACGCTGTGCTGTTTTCTCCAACCCTATTCTCTCTTCCTTCTACTGATAGTAAGCTGCTTGTTTTTTCGCTTTGAAAATTACTTTATTTACTATTTTTTGGATCTCAATTGGCATTTTCGAACTAACTTGTTCGTCGTTTTACAATGCCTTCTCTCCATTGTTATCGTTTCTGCATTTTTCCCAGCTTATTTTTTGAGGCAATCAAGCTGGGAGTTTGTTGTTTTTCAAAACAATATGGACCCTTGTAAAAATTGCCTGAATTAGCAGAGTTTGCGTGAATTGAGGATATGAGTTACTCGTCGGAATTCATAGCACACGGGATATCACAGCTTGGTGTTTAGCATTGCTTGCATTTCCCTCAGTAATGGGCTACTCTCTCAAAATTCGGACCTTAATTCAGATTGTGAAAAGGAACTGGCTGTTGTTGGTGGGGTTGGTTGCTCTTACCCATTTGCTCTGTCAGTCTTTGCTGCTTACCGAGTCACCCAAGCACTCTCCTCCTCTTAAGACCTTGACTGTTGACAGCCATCATGAGGATAGTGCCTCAAGTCTCCATAATGAATCTCTATCCGTGAGGCGAGTGAAGAGCGCAAGAATTCACGACATGGATGCTGAGGATAACGAGGGATTCATGAAAATTGACAAGGAAGAAAAAACGGATTCTGATTTGGATGCCGATGGCATTGATGATGATATTAATTTTGTTGAAGATGAAACCAATGTCAATGTGGACGTGGGGGAGGATTATATGATTAAGCCAAGCGATAGGGAGCATGATCATCATGGTTCTTTGCAAGTTGGGAAAAATGTATCAAGCCGGAGATTTTTTATGGGTCAACTCGCGATGGGGAATTCAGGTGCTGCCTTAGATTCAGAAAGTAGTAAGATTTCGTACAAAGATGTCGTCAGCCATTCTGTTTCTTTATCGCCTTTGGTTGTCTCACCGGCTAAGCCTTTGTTGACTGAATCCGTGGTTCAGAAAAAATCAGAATCTGTAATTAGCCTATCACTGTCCAACAAGATAGTTAAGAAGAAGATGAGATGTGATATGCCGCCTAAAACTGTTACATCAGTAGAAGAGATGGAAAAGTTATTAGTCCGGCACCGAGCTCGGTCACGTGCAATGGTATGTGCTTGGCTTGTTATATGAAGCAAAGTCGATGTGTTGTGGCTTACTCCATCACTTAGAAACTTTTGACTGGGTTTTGTTTTATTTATTTTATTTTGTGATTTGATTGTAGAGACCGAGATGGTCATCAGAGCGTGATCAGGAAATCCTATCTGCAAAACAAAAGATTGAAAATGCCCCGGTTTTGAAGAGTGACCGGGAACTATATGCTCCTCTATTTCGAAATGTTTCCATGTTCAAAAGGTCAGTGGCTCGCCCACTGTAGCTTTATGCGGAGCTGAACATGATGTAATCTAAATGAGGCCATCTTTTACATGAGACACCAACGATCTTAGTCAATTTCCTTTTCTCTAGTCTTGTCTTTTGGTTTGAATATCTGAAGTTGAAATACAAGATAAACAAGATTTAATCTAAATGAGTCCATCTTTCTCATAAGTCATAACAAACCAATTTTTAGCCAATTTCCTTTTCTCAAGTTATCGCTTTTTGACTTATTGTACTCCAATATTATTGCTTGCGTTTTTGTTTTATCTGCTTGATCATCTTTAACATAAAGTCATCTTTGTTTCATGAATGAAGTAGCTTCAGCAAAGGGTTTCCATACTCCCTGAAATGTGGATGACAAATTAGTTTTTTTGTACTGCGGAGAACGCCTCACTTCCCTGACTTTCGGTTCCTTACCTTACTATCTTTAGCTCTGGAACTGATTTTTTGGCTCAAAACTAAAAGGAATGTGCTAACCGATGCTTCCATTTAATTTGATCATGGTCCTCACTCATGCAAGTCTGTTCACCAAAATAATAAGGTTATATCACATGCTCAGATCTGTGTCATCCTTAGCATTTTAGTATGTGATTTTTTAACTTTTAGAGACCCTTTTTTCACGCAAAACCATTTGTGTGGAAACGCTACCATGTTACATTAAAATAAAAAGGAAAAGAAAACGGAACAGTGAACAAAATAATATTAGATGCTTGCATTGTTTGTAATGTGTTATCCATTGCGCGCCAGTAGATGTTCTTGTACCGTAAGAGAGGACATCTCCAGCTAGACGCTAATAGTGCTTGTAAAAGTGAAATGGTTTTCACATTGGCTTTCGAACTGATTGATTGAATTGAGAGTATGAATTTGAATAAACACGACTGTGCTGTATAATATTAGAAGATTTTTATGCTGTCAGAGAATGAAGCTTGAAATAGTGAGCTGTTCTTTGTGAAAACTCCTGCTATCACAATAGTGTGGTTGCAGATACATTCCAAGAAAGACCCACTTTTCCCATGAAAAAAATCAATAATCTAGTTTGTGGATAGCAGCCTCTGATCTTTTACCGTCTCTTCTTCTTGCTGCCTCAGACTGAATGTTTCCCAATCTATTCACCATCATTCTACCTTTTCACACTGGCAAACTTCAAGTTTGAAAGATTTTTTGTTGTCCCCACTTATGGTTCTCTATATGAGAAGTTTACTCTAACCACAAGTAACACTCAGAAGTCTATTGGACATATGTTTTTGACTCACACTTTGGTCTCGTTGAGAATACGATTAGTAAGCCAAATAAAAGATCTCGAGTTATATATATATATATTGAAAGCATTTGTAGATTTTTTCTAAGATAATTGGATTATCCTAAAATTGAGTATTTTTTTAAAGATAACTGGTGTTTTCTTGTGATTAAATTGAAAGTGAGGTATATAGTGTAATTTTCTTGTAACTTATCTATTTGGATGTGGATCGTATTTTTGCTAGCGAATAAATTATGTTTCTTGGGCCTCGGTATATATCTTCACCATTCAATATCTTATACTTTTTGTACTGAACCGTTTCATTATGCTTTTCCACCAAGCAGGAGCTATGAACTCATGGAACGCGTGCTGAAGATATATGTATACAAGGAAGGTGATAAGCCTATCTTCCATCAGCCAATACTCAAAGGATTATATGCATCCGAAGGATGGTTCATGAAACTAATGGAGGGGAATAAAAATTTTATTGTTAAAGATCCAAGGAAGGCTCATCTGTTTTACATGCCATTCAGTTCACGAATGCTGGAATACACACTATATGTACGTAATTCCCATAACCGGACAAACCTACGGCAATATTTGAAGGATTATTCAGAAAAGATTGCAGCAAAATACCGATTTTGGAACAGAACTGGCGGAGCAGATCATTTTCTTGTTGCCTGCCATGACTGGGTATTGCTTCACTTGCACATCTCCCTCTCCATCTCTTACACACACACACACATACACACACACACACACACACACACACTCACACACTCACATATCCTCCTCGTAATTCCTAAGTCCTGTACGAATTTATCAGTTCTTGGTAATTCGGTAATTTGTATATGAAATATCTCAATCCTTACTCAATTCATACTCAAAATCTAACTCAACTTTAACTCAACCCCACTTCCTCAATATAATCAATATAATTAAATAATATCAACCAATCAATCATTCTTACACTTCACATCAACTTTAATTTTATTTTCATCCTCTCACATAAATTTTTAACAACTATCACTTCATATCATCTCTCTCCTACTTCTACATTAAATCAACTTTAATTATTTTATATTAAATATTATTTTAATATAAGATCAAAATCCCACTGACAACTAACCATACAATTTTTATTTTTTTTTTTCAAAATTAACACTTGTTAACCAAAAAACTCATTTTTAGCGGATATATTTGTATACAAACACACCCGGCATTGAAACAGCTTGATATCAATCATTTACGTTTTAAGATTCGTATGCCTTTTAACGCATTACATGTCCACAGGCTCCGTACGAGACACGTCACCACATGGAACACTGCATCAAAGCCCTCTGCAATGCTGATGTCACCACAGGCTTTAAAATCGGGAGGGATGTCTCCCTTCCAGAAACGTATGTCCGTTCAGCTCGAAATCCTCTAAGAGATCTCGGGGGAAAGCCACCTTCACAGAGGCAAACACTCGCCTTTTACGCAGGAAGCATGCACGGCTATCTCCGCCCAATCTTGCTCGAGCTCTGGGCGAACAAGGAGCCAGATATGAAAATACTGGGCCGAATGCCACCTGGCGTTGCCAGCAAGATGAACTACATACAGCTTATGAAAAGCAGCAGGTACTGCATCTGCCCAAAGGGATATGAAGTCAACAGTCCGAGAATAGTCGAGGCTATATTTTACGAGTGTGTTCCAGTTATAATTTCTGATAACTTCGTGCTCCCGTTCTTTGAGGTGATGAATTGGGATGCGTTCTCGGTGATTATTGCCGAGAAAGACATCCCGAATTTGAAAACCATACTTTCCTCGATATCTGAGAAGAAGTACCTCGACATGCAGCTGAATGTCCGGAAAGTCCAACGACATTTTCTGTGGCACCCAAGGCCCATGAAGTATGACCTCTTCCACATGACCCTTCACTCAATCTGGTACAATCGTGTTTTTCAGATCAAACCAAGGTGACAATTGAGGTCACCTGCTTAGTGTGTACTAATGTGAAGGCCACCTGGATAAAGTAATAAAGACTGCATGGAGAAAATCATGCATTTAGTTAATTCAAGTATGCTGCCATGTATTCTAGAGGGTGGTCAAAAAACTTCCACCAGTATTATGTTGTATTGAACTTGTACTGTTGGAACTGAGTTTTGTACATAAATTAGTGTGTGGTGTGCGTGTGTTGTTTCTGTATGTATATGTATACTGTGGTTGCTAATTAAGTTTCTGATTTAGTTTCTGATTTTATATCATTGTACAAAACGCGTGTTGCTGGAAATCTTACGAGATCATAAGAACAAGTTTAAATTCGTGAGATTTGTTAACTTGCATGCTTTTCCTAGAAGGAGATCAGTTGCATATATAACTATCGATTGTTGATCTTATTCTGTCTAATATTTATTGGTTTGTCATGATTATTATACTTTGCCGAAGCATGAAGGTACTAGTCGGTTACTATGGTACATGATGATGTTATCTTTATTTATTTATTTACTTAAGAAATTGTAGTGATTATTTATTTGTTTTCTTAATATTATCATTTTTTATTTTCTAGAAATGCTATCACTAAGTTGATTGTGTGATTTTTTTGCAGCATTTTTTTGGAACTCAACTGCTCATGTACTAGGAGTCTAGGACCTTAGCGTTTTGCAATAGTAAGGAAGCGCCTCAAGGTATGTGACTTTGCCCACGTTAATGTGTATTCTAAATAGCTCTATTATGGACTTAATTTTTATTCTGAATGAGAATTATAATTAGTCCATGCATTTTATATTTATTTGTAGATATAAATTTTAATTTACCTTATATTGTAGATAATATGATGTGTGATGTCGCATAAGAAATCACAATAAAAATTCCTTATAAAGTATAAAAGAAGCCTGCAACTGAGCTTTAACAAACTATTGAGATGCTTATCGTATAATTTTCTATTAGTTTATCTAAACAATAAATTATACTAATATACTCTGGGTGTATTGAGCTAAACCACATAGGATAGTTTAAGTTGTACAGACCTAAATAAAAGAACAAGACTTCAGTTCGTATGAATTCTCGTCTTCTGAATCTCAATACAATAGCACACGTATATTCAATATTTGTTTCTTTGATTCATCAATGGGTGAGATTTGATTCATTAGTTGGTGACTGTTGATTGAGAATTCTTTGAGAGGAGCTCATTAGGATTATCATTTAAATCTTGCTGGTGGATTTGATCAGTCATGATAAACAATTTCTCATTAATATTAAAAACATGGCTTTATTATAATAATACAAACTAATAGATATATGAGTAATGGTAATATTGTTGTTTTAGTTGATGTTGGGTTTATGAAGCAGTTTGAGAGATATGTGGAAGAAAGCAAATTCGTGAGGAATAATGGTGCAAGAATATTATGGTTGATTTTCAGGAGATCATTATGTTTTGTTTGTGTATTTGTATTAAATATAATCACATTTTTCTCATTAATATTATTATACTCAAATATATAAATTTTTTATTTCCTACATTTTTTTAATAGAAACATTGCTTTAATGCTGCGAGAATATTGTGGTTGATTTTTAGGAGATGCGTCATGTTTTGTTTGTGTATTTGTATTGAATTAATTAAATATTAGTTATTGATTAAAAATATAAGATAGGACGAGTGTTAGTTATTACTATTTACCATTAAAAATCTGTCAAAATAAGGGTATTTTAGGTAGTTAATTTTTTTTACAAAAACACTCGTCAGTTCAGAGTAGTATAGATATAGATATAGATATAGATAGATATATAATAGATATAGATATAGATAGATAGATAAATAGATAAAGATAGATGAATCCATTTTGGCCAAAGTTTGAACTATATATTATCATATTATTGAAGCCGGCAAGAGTTTTTATTTTAGTTGATTAAGGGAAAAGCAACACGATAGTGAACTCTCTCAGGTATCAAACATTTGACAGGGCTGTTGTAATGGTAAATTTACTGAAGTACCAAAAGGAGTTAGTTGGTAAGGAATTATTCTTCACAGATAAAGAGTTTATTGGAAATGCACGTTAGGTAGCGTTTACATGTAAAACCTAACATATGGAAATGAACTATGGATGAAAGAAATTATAAGCAGTTTACTAATTACTAATCCTCCACTTGATGTTTTATGTATTAAACAAACACAAAATTGGTCAATGGAAGCAATTTCTGGATGGTTTCCAATTCCTAAACAAATTGCAGAAAGAGACTAGAGAAAATAATAAAAAAATTGGAAGTCAACTATGGCTGTATTAGCTACTGCATTATGTCTAGGCTGTAAGAAGGTGGACTTTTTTTTTTCTTTTTTTTTTTTGCATGACTTCCACACACTAACAATTTAACAAGAACCTACAGTTTATCTTGATCTGTTTCTGTATAATCTGGAAATCGAGTAAGGCTTATAGAGAGAGAATGAGGATTCAGGACAAAAATTTAAAGAATAAGTCCCATGTAAGCATTCATGCATGCACCGAGGCTGGAGATCTCATCGGCGTCCAGAGGTTGCTTAGCCAAAATCCTTCTCTGCTTAATGAAAGAGGCATTGTTGTAAGGGCACCCCTCTCTCTCTCTCTCTCTCTCTCTCAAAATTGACTTCATAAAACACTACCAAAGGGATTTGAACTTTTATTTTATTGTTTATATATCATCATTGTAGTTTTACCATCTGGTGATCAGTATTCATACATTAGTTTACAATGTGTGAAAGTAATTATATTATTTAGAAGTAAACTTATAGGCTATATGCATATGAAGGATTCTCATATCGTCTCAAATTAGGATTCCATCCTCAGTCTAATGTCTTGACAAGGTCAAATAATGAAAAAAGTCGAATGCTATTAAGTTTTACAATAGGAAGTGAAAGGTTTATTTTTAGAAGAAATCACTGCAGGCCAATCTTGGCATTTGGATTGGGGAAATCTCCTTTTCAGATAGAATCGAAACAAAGTAAAGTAAAAAGACAGCATGAGGTCTTAATAATTCGTGTAGGAGTAAAAGGAAACTTGACACATATCCATTTTCACAAAGATTAAGATATGGTAATGTATACAATCAACAGCATTCGCCACTACACGGTTTATAGTGAATGATTTTGTTGACACCAGACTACATATGAGTTGAGAAGGTACATGACAATATGGAAGGCCGGCTATCTTTTGGTACATAATGAAACTTTGTGGGCTATTATGGGAATAACGGGAATTATGTTAAGTTATTTCTAAATTATCATTTGGACATTGTGAGCGGCATTATATTGTCAACCTTACAAAATACATATATTATAACTTATTCCAGATCTTGACATTTGAATAATTTTTTCAATCATTATTTTTGGACTAACCTTTTGTTCTTATACCAACTATTGAGTTATAGTTACCTCAAGCTGGGGACCTATCTATTTTATTCAAGTTTTAATTTGTCCGTATGAAATGTCAATATCTGCAGCCATTATATGATTGATTTTAATGTTATTCATCAAAGAAATGTTGCCATTGTTTTTTTCTTAACTACTTCAATCACATATTCTCATTCTTGATGGCAGACGGTACAAACTCCATTGCACGTCGCCTCCGGTCACAATAAATTTGAGATAGTGAAGTATTTGCTCGATTGGAGAGGACCCGGAAAAGTTGAGTTAGAAGCTAAGAATGTTGTAAGAATAATTGACTAACAATCTCGATTTGCTATCGTTCTGAAAATCAGTGATCTAGTGGTTAAAAAAGACGTAATGACAAGCTTGTTATTTGCCAATTGCATGAGATGTAAGGCAAAGCGCTCCCCTCATTTATAGACAATGAACGAGTTGCATTTAATCTGGTAGAAAACGAAAAAGAAGTCTCAAATGATATTCTTTCACACAAAAAGAGCCTCAAATTTTCACTATAATAGCTAGTTATGAACTATTTCTGACCCACTTGAAAAAATTACAAGCATTCAAGGCACACAGTCCTCGGCTCGCCATGGCTATGCCTTTTAAATCACTGGAACAACCCATATTGACGTGTTTGTATTAATGTGTTTTACAATTCTTGCAGTATGGCGAGACCCCATTGCATTTGGCGGCTAAGAATGGATGTAATGAGGCACTGAGGATGCTTCTTCAGGGTGGAGCAAATGTGGAAGCTAGAACAAATGTGCACATACGCATTTCCATTTTGTGTTTTTCCAGAAAATGATATTTTTACTAAAAAAATTTTGTTCAACTTACTGCAGAACATGATGACTCCATTACATCTCGCTGTTGGTTATGCACTACGAACCGGAGACAACTCGACAGTGAGGACACTGGTGTTAGAGTACAATGCTGATTGCTCGGCAAAGGATGATGTATATTCCTTCTGTTTATTACTATGTTCATGATGTTTCACATATATATACTCTCCTTCTCGCACACAGGAACAAACATATTACTAGAGCCAAAATTCAGTTTTTTAGTTATTTTATTTTATTTTACTTTTTTTCGGAGCTTCAATTTTCTTTGTACAATTGAGTTATTATGGAATCCATTTGATGTCGGACTGCCTGAAATGTCATTTGATATTTCACTTTTGATGGCTGACAGGAGGGCATGATGCCTTTCAACTATCTTCCGGCTGGTGTACAAAATGAAGAGTTGCTGCAGATGCTTTGCCAAAACGTTACGCAACATATTAATAATTTCACGCAACAAGTCAACAGTTTCATGCAGCAGATTAACACGACAGGCTATTACTACCAAAATGGTGCACAACAGAATAACAACATATACAACTCTAGTAACTACTACACTTCAACAAGCTACCTAAACGAGGAGCCGAAGAACTATGACAACGGCATACAGGGAAAGCTTGAAGAATTTGACAATGAGCTTTCACAAATAGTTGGGCTGAAACCTCTCAAAGAGCAACTCCGAAAATGGGCAAAGGGAATGCTCCTGGATGAGAGGCGCCGGGCCATGGGGATAAACCTTGGCCCGAGAAAAGCACCTCATATGGCCTTCCTTGGAAACCCAGGGACAGGTGTCGTGACATTCAATATTTTATTTTTTGTTCTCTATCTTTTACTACAAATTTGCAAAGTCGGTGTATACATTTCTGCACTTACAAGTTTTTCTGTTTCTTTGTGGATTATGCTGGTTGAGCAGGTAAAACCACTGTCGCACGAATACTAGGCAAACTAATGAATTCTGTTGGAGTACTTTCTTCTGATAAAGTGACGGAAGTACAGAGAACGGATTTGGTGGCGGAGTATCTTGGACAAACTGGAGCCAAGACGAGGAAAAAGGTGGTCACTTTTTTCACTCACTTGCTGGCTGACCCATTTAACCTCAAAAGAATATAAAATGTGTTACATCCGTATAGTTTAGTTTTTTAATTGCTGACATATAGTCGAATGATGTGTTACGAATGCTTTGACTTCAACCATTAAATTTAAATGCCTAGATATCTCTGAATTATTTCTAGATGAAAAAAAAGGCCTACTCTGTAAGTTTCTTGAAACTGTGAGAACTTTATGTTATGTGCAAAAATGATTTGTAGCCATTTTTCATTTTTGGAAGATGCAGAAATCATTTATGCATCTTGGATATGGGAAAATGTCTATAAAATCATGTAATTACGAAAAAAGTTTGTTTGATGCATACGCAGATTGAGGAGGCCATGGGTGGAATTCTGTTTGTGGACGAAGCGTACAGGCTGGTGCCCCAGCAGGGGGCAGGGCACAGCCAAGACTATGGTGTGGAGGCGCTGGAGGAGATCATGTCCGTGCTGGAAGACGGTGAGATTGTAGTCGTCTTTGCAGGCTACACCGAGCCCATGAGGCGCGTCTTCTCCTCAAACGAGGGCTTTTGCCGGCGCGTGACCCACTTTTTCGACTTTGACGACTACAGCAGCTGGGAGCTAGCCGAGATGCTGATGATCAAAATGCGAAAGGCGGACGAGAAGAGCCGTCTGTTCGGGTTCCGGCTCCACCCGTCTTGCACGTTAGACGCGGTTGTTGCTGTGATCGAGAGGTGCTCGACCGAGAAGCTTCGGAACAAGCTGAACGGGGGGCTGGTGGACCACATGCTAAACAACGCGAGGGAGTGTCTGGACGCGAGGCTCAATCTCAGCTCGACTGGGGACGAGCTGCTGACGATCACATTGGGGGATCTGGAGAACGGGCTCCGCCATCTGGCTGAGAGAGTCATGGTGAATTGAGTTTGTATGGGATAATAACGTTGTTACATGACACTCTGGATTGATAAGTGTTTTGATTGGAACTTGTTTTTTTCTTGCATATACTGTTTTGATTGATTGTGCAACAAAAGAACACAAAGGAGAGGTCCATATTTGGTACACTATTACTTACTTTGTGTTGGAATATTCATTTGTGAGTTGTCTCACATCTTTTATATAGGAAAAATAAGCCTAAGTTATAAGTTTAATTGACTACTCCTCCTTCCACCAGTTGGTTTTGAGATGGAATCTCACTTGGGCTTCATTTGAGTTTTCTCTGTCTTGGTATGTTTCATTTGCGTGGGACCGCATCCATTTTCCCCCTGTTAAATCATATTTTTTATTAACTTTTTATTTTGCTTTTTATATATATTTGTTAGTTTATATTTTTGATAGAATATTATTGTTATATGGTTTCCTTTAATTATTTGATTTTCTTCTCTTAATAGGTTTCGCATTTACAGACTAAAAAGAAGAATATCTTCAACAAGAACAAAAAAAATAAAAAATAAAAAATGATGTGCATTGGCGTAAATAAAGAGAGGACAAGCAGCAGTAATTTGCTAGCCTTGTTCTTGGAGATATTAAAACACACAATTGGAAAAAAAACACACAATTGGAAAAAAAGAACACATTTTTCTCTTGGATATATTGCCTTCTTCCACAATAATATTGGAGCAGCAGTTTATTTATCTTGGAGCATCAACTTTAATTTAAAAGGAGGAGCACAACCAACGCGGTATTTTCAGAGAAGAACACGGACAAGCAAGAGGAGTTTTTTGACAAGGATTTTTGGGGCTTGTGTTCTTTATTGCTCTCATATCATATTTGGGATTATTTGGGACACATGTTAATTTGCCAACCGTTTATGTGACATGCACACATTGGTGATATGAATATGTTTAAAAATATACATCACTAATGAGTGCATGCCACATAAGCGGTGAGCATATTAACATGTGCTCACCGTGAGTAGGTGAACATTACTCTTCTCTTTTGATAGTTTGATTTGATATTGTGCATTTCGTTTTAACTCGCGATTTGTTTTTCGTATTTCACTAGGCGTGTTGGCGACTGATTTGGAATTGTATGAAAAACATTGAAGTTGATTTGATCTAGTGAATTTTTGGCATGTTGTCTTCGTCTACAAGTGATTTTCACTTGTAGGTTAAATTTTGAATCTTTTGTGTTTATTTATTTTTCGCTGTGTATTTTATTTTTGATATTTGTGTAAAAATCTGGAATTTTCAGTACCTAAAATTCTAACAAGTGGCATCAGAGCAGGTCACTTAATTTTATAAGTGTGATTCTGATTTTTTTTAGGTATGTATAGAGTTTACGGGGTTGCCGTTACCCCCGCACTTATTCCGAACCGGCCAAAGTCATCCAACGAGAAGATGAAAAATGACGAAGCTGATGATAATCGTGGACGAATCGAGGACGAATCGAGGCCAAGAAAAATTTGTCCAGCAGGTGTCGGACGAAATATCGCCCGAAGTGTCATGACACCTGACATGTATCGAAATGAAAATTTTGTTTCTTTTTGCTTTAACACCTTGTTTTGTGACTCTTCAGGTAGAAATATAGGTCGTCGGGACAACATTCAATATTTTAGCTATGAAGATCATGAAAAGGAATACAAGAAACTTTATAAACGCTGGATAGATGGAGTCTTCGATGCGAATAGGCTCGAGAAGGAGAACAATAAGTTAAAGGATGAGAATAAGAGGATAAAGTCAGAGGCTAAAAAGTTGGAAGAGGAGAACGATGCTTTAAAGTCCACCATAACCCAGTTGGAGGTGACCATCTTTGGTCATGACCAAAAGTTGGTAAAGGTAAGAGAGGAACTGGAGCTCCCGTCTAACCTTTCAACGACTTAACACCTAGATCGGGAGCTTAAGTTAAAGAAGGCAGAACCCCGAGCGGTTAGCTTGGGCCTTAACTAAAAAAGGCAGAGCCTCGAGCGATTAGCCCGGGGGCCTAAGTTAAAGAAGGCAGAACCTTGAGCGGTTTGCTCAGGCCTAGACTAAAAAAGGCAGAGCCTTGAGCGATTAGCTCTGGGGCCTAATTTCAAGAAGGCAGAACCTTGAGCGGTTAGCTCGAGGGCTTAAGTTAAAGAAGGTAGAACCTCGAGCGGTTAGCTCGAGCGCCTAAGTTAAAGAAGACATAACCTCGTGTGTTAGCTCGAGGGCCTAAGATTAAAAGGGGCAGAACCTCGAGCACTGAGCTCGAGAGCCTAAGGTAAAATATAAGAAACTTCGAGTAGTTAGCTCGAAGGACTAAGGATAAATGGACTAGAAAAAGACTAGGAAAGTACAGCCCGACTCAACGTTTTAAGTATGGTGCTAGTTGTCCAGACGTTTGAAGTACTAAAATTCTCTAAGCTTTCCAAGTTCGGGATAAGTAATTTAGCTTTATCATGAAGACAATTGTTCAAAATGGCAAGGAGCTTAAGGTACTTAGCTCAAGGACGAAGAAATTTAGACAAAGTAAGAAAATGCAGAAAATAAAAGGCAGTCTCGTAAAAGGGAAAATATTTTATTACGGAAGAATAGTCATTATAAAGGCCCAAAGTATGGTAGGTCGATTACAAAGCAATAAGAAGACAATAAAAAGCTAAGGGCCTTCGGGGGGAGTAGAGGAGGTCGCTTCCTTAGTAGGTTCTGGACTGGCCACTAGGTTCACATGTTTCATGGTCGTGGACTAAGCTGGATCCCACTAGGGATGATTGCGGAGCTCCTGAGGGTTTTTCTCCCA